AGTATATTGTGATGCATAAGAAAAAAGGTGAAAAAATAATTAAGTGGAAATATTTCCAAGAACTGTATGATGCAAACAAAGCACACGAAGAGCTACCTACGCATTCTACAAAAAATTACAGAAGAACTTGTGAATATTGACAAAATTAATAAAAAGAAAGTAAAAACAGCAGCTCAGCTATTCAGCCACAGCGTTGCTTATGTGGCTAAACATCTTTAGCAGGCTGGAAAAGTGAGCAACGAAGTTAGAAAATTTTAAAGTTTTGCCTTTTTGTAGACCGCTTATTCGACAGTTTAAATTGTAGTCAATTTAATATACCACATGGTAAAGTGTATAGGGCAGGCGTAATAACATATTCTCCTCATCATCAACTTTCGAGAGAGGCAATACATTTTATTAAAAATATAAAATTTTTAGAAATGAAACAAACAGGAGGCAAAGTCCGCACTATTGAAAAGACGGTACCAACATTGAAGAAATTTATTAAAACTGTAAAGGGCATGCAAGCCATTTGGAATATTTTATCCTAAAAGTTTTGTAAAAATTTTAATCAGGACCCTATTGAATTTTTTTTTGGGATTGTTAGAAGTTTAGGGGTTAGAAATGTAGCACCAAATTCTGTTGCGTTTGAAGGTGCCTATAAGTCGCTTTTATTGAGTAACTTTTCACATCTCACTCAATAAAAGCGAATTGCAAAGAAGATATAGCTACATTTATGCATTTTCTTAACTTTTTATTAGACCAAACAGATGTTACAATTGATCAGTCTTTTTCTTTTGACAACTTATCGTTACGTTAAACACGGCAATAGAGATGATCCCGGTAATTACAGACCTATATCAATATTACCGGTTTAAGGAAAGAAAATATTTTAGATCAATTATTATCGTATGTCAATTTGAACAAACTGTTAAATATTATTAAACTATTATTATGAGTAAAGCCAAATTGATTATTATAATAATCAATGGTAGGTAGACCAACAACAGATGCGGGTGTTGCACTTATTAGACATATACTGGAAGCCCGGTAGAAGTCGCAGAATGTTGTTGGAGTATTCTGTAACTTATCCAAGGCGTTTGACTGTGTTGAGAACCAGACGCTGGTGTTAAAATTAAACCACTCTGGAATCAAAGGCGCAGGCCAAAAATTGCAACTATCGCATCTTAGTTACAGAGTTCAAGCTGTAGAGGTAAATGGTGTTGAAGTCTTCTGGATCTAATGTGAAAATGGCCGTACCACACGATTTTAGGTCCGTTTCTATTTTTATTTGTACATAAATAATTTGCCGTTTTTTGTGGAAAAATTGTGTGAGATCGTATTGTTTGCTGATGTTACCTCTTTATTATTTAGGGCTGACCAATAGAAGAATAACTTTGACAATGTAAATAATGCTCTCATACAAGTATTGCACTGGTTTAATGTAAATAACTTAAAATTGAATTTACTGGTTTTGTTGTCAAACTAATGATGGATGGCGGCTTTGAGAAAGCATAAAACACAAATCTGCCGAGATTTGACGCATTGATGGTTGGTGTATTCTTTGCAGTAAACCCCGATTTCTGCTCTGCGGAGCAGAAGAACCTCAAGGCATCTATGTAAGTACAGTGAATTTGGTATTATAATGGTATTGATAAATTTCGTGCTAAACGCCCACATAAAATAAAGAGCAAAAAAGTATATTGAAGATATGCCTGTACGAATGAAATTTCTTTTGCGTTTCTGTTGGCAGAATTACAAAATAAAACTGGTCTTTGTTTTGACAGTTGAGCTTTGTTTTGTTGCATTGTTTGTTGTATAAACAGTAAATATTATAAAATAATATGAACAGTGACAATATTGAACAGCCGCAAAGGCGTAGGAATAAAAAGCAGCAAGTACTTATGATAGAGCGCTTCAAATTTATTAATTGTCAAATTGTCGCGCAACTTTGACAAACAAAGATGACGGATTGACATTAATAACCATAAACCACTTGTCGCTGTAATTAATAATGCAGACAATGTTGATTTAATTAATATTTAAAAAAGTGATAATAGTCTGATAATAATAATTACATAATTTATCAACATTCCTAATGATATATTTATGCACATCTGAAATTGACTAGGCTTAGCTTTCTATTACCTGTAATTGAGTTTCAAGCTGAAATGTTTGTCACACAAAGTATTAAATATTAAAAACACGTACACGAAATCTTTTTAGGCGGAAACGAATAGAACTCGAGAAAAAAAATATTGAAAATTAATATTTTTGTAGGTTATGAGTCAATTTTGATCAGTGCTGCCATTTTTTTATGCAAAAATAACATGTTTCTCGTTGTCTATGGTAAAAATAAGTTTATTATGTTGGTACTATTGTCAAAATGTGACAATTTACCGCCATTAATGAGATCTGTCAGTCAGTGTTTGTGTTCGTCGCAGTTGAGAGCTTTTTCGTACTCCTGTTGATATTAACATCGTCTGACTACCATGGCATCCAAGTGGTGATAGTTTACACTAGGTTAGGTTAGTGTTGTGACCTTAACGCGCGAGCGTGCCGCGGCAGCGGCCGGCGAAGCGCCAGAAAGAAAAATTCGTTAATAGAGACTTGTTCTACAAAAAAATCAAATATCACCTCTAGGCCCTGGAATTACAGTTTTACCTTTAAAACCCCTCTAATTTTTTGTAATTATCATTTTTGTAAAAAAATGCCGCGAGGGGGGGGGACCCTTTCCTGTGAGGGGTCTTCCGTAATACCTATCCCCCTGGAATTCCACTACATTTAACAGATTTAATAAATTTTTAGGTTAGGTAAAAAAAACTGCATTTCCGCCAAAAATCCTTTATGGCGGGGGGTCGGGGGGAGCCCCCTCCCCCCTACAAACTACAGTGCCATTGACTATTGTAAAAAGTTTGATGTAAAATATTTCATCTATTAGTTATAATAAATGTATATGAAATGAATAAATATATATTTATATTATTTTCATTAATTTGTTAATTTACCCTTTCATACAGTATCAATCTTTTTTAAGTTAAATAAACTTTTTCTTTAGATTTAAATAAACTCTTTTTGCGTCTGGTTAGACTATCGAACTTAAGGAGTAAACTCCAGTCGTGCGTCGGAGCTGACACACTCAATTTTTTTATTTTTTAAGTTGAGAACTACTCTAAACAATTACAGACCCATATCTTGCATTCCAGATGCATGGGTCTACAAAACAAAAATTAAGGCCCGTAGAGTACGTAGTCACATGCCGAGGCGGCCACTCGGCGGGCAGAGACTGCTGTTGCGGTGTCGCTGGACATCCGCAACGCCTTCAACAGTCTCCCCCACGAGTGCATTATGGAGGCACTGCGTTTCCACTGTGTGTCTCCATACCTGCGAGCGATCGTAGAGGACTACCTGCAGGGGAGGTCAGTCCTCTACGAGGGGCCCGATGGAAGCGTGTGCTCTCGGGCCATGGCCGCAGGGGTACCCCAGGGGTCAGTGCTGGGTCCACTGCTCTGGAACCTGGGGTACAACTGGGTGCTGCGAGGCAGCCTCATGCCCAACATGGAGGTTGTCTGCTTCGCCGACGACACGTTGGTCGCGGCGAAGGCAAAGTCGGTGGAGGAGGCGGTTCGCCTAGCGTCGGTCGGCATCTCGCTAACTGTCCGACGCATCCGCCTCCTGGGCCTGGATGTGGCTTTTGACAAAACGAGGGCCATGCTGTTTCACGGCCCACGCCGCAGCACCCAAACGGGGCTCCATATTCGGGTGGAGGGGGTCAATGCACCGGTCGAGGGAAGCCTGAAGTACCTCGGCCTGGTACTGGACCCCCGATGGAGTTTAGAGGAGCACTTCAAGCTCCTCGCTCCACGGCTGTGCGCTGTATCATGGGGTGATACGGTCGATGGCACTTTATGGAGCTCCCGGTTTGGGCTGAGTGCCTCAAACCCCGCACGGTGACCGCAGAGGACCATCGCGACCCGGGCCGTGCGAGCGTATCGCACGGTCAGCCACGGCGCCGCCTGCGTACTCGCGGGTGCGACGCCGTGGGATCTCGATGCGTAGGTCCTGCTAGACGTGCATCGAGGTCGGGTTGAAGCCAGGGAGCGGGGTGAAAGACTTGTCCCAGCGGAGATCCGTTCCATCGCGCAGGCAGAGGCCTTGCGGCGATGGGATGAGGCATTCGCCCAAGTGAGCGCCGGCCACCGGACGATTGAGGCTATTCGTCCGGTGTTGGAGGAGTGGGTGGGTCACCGGCGCGGCGGCCTCACGTTCCGTATGGTGCAGATCTTGACCGGGCATGGATGCTTCGGTCACTATCTGCATCGTGTCGCACGTCGGGAGGAAACGCCGCAATGTCATCATTGCGGTGCCCCGGACGACACGGCCGAGCACACCTTATTGGAGTGCCCGGCCTGGCGGCACCAGCGCCGCGAGCTTATCGTGGCGCTGGGATGCGGAGCCCTCTCGCTGCGGTGTATGGTAGAGGCCATGCTCCGCAGCGAGAGGGTCAGTCAGGTGCAGTCGCCTCCTTTTGCGAGAACGTTATCTCGCAGAAGGAGGCGGCTGAGAGGGAGCGGGAGGATGATCCTCTGGCCGCTCCCTCCCGCCAAAGGAGGGTGGGTAGGAGAGGACATCGGCGCGCTCTGGCTGCGCCCGTCCCATGACCCTACCCGGGGGTCCCTCGCTGACCGGCATAGCTACAGCTGTGCCGGCTACCGACGGACCCCGTGACGGCAGCCCCCCCTTGTAGTTCTGTCATGCGAAGAGGGGGGCGACGGAGTGAGCTACATGGGCACGCCCAAGTAGCCCTCCGCAGCGGACGGGCGGTACGGTGGGCACTAGGCCGCGTACTCAGCCCCCACGCGCGGGCCGTCCTGCGCACGTCTGCGGGGTCCCCGCGATACCCCGGGAGACCTCTGCCGCGGAGCCCCGGCAAGGCCGGGAGGCTGCTAGGTGCGGAGACGCGGAAGAATCCCTAAACGGGGATCCCGCGGCTTCGCACTAAGCAGCTTAGAGGGTGTTCGCAGGGTATTTTAGCGGATATTACGCCGTAAAGCGCCCGTAAGGGTTACGGGGTCCTCAGTGGGCAGCTACTGCTGGGGCTCGTAAGGCTTGCGGGAGCCAGGTGTGAGGTCCGTTCGGCGGTGTGCCTCTTAAAGGCTGTCTCAATCACTGGCTTTACGGATGAAAAAGTTGTTTGTATAATTCTGTTGATTCTCATGTATTTGTTGATAACAACAATTGTTAATGACTTTTCGAACACATACTTTTTATATTCTAGGGAAAATATAAAGATTAGATCAAGTGAAGGAGTGTGTGATTGGAAACACTTGGGTGATAACCTAAAGTCTCACAAATCAAGTCGACAGCACAAAGATAGGTTTAGGTCACGTAGAAATAATTATGTATAAGTCATTTACGCGCGGTATTTCGCAATATGCTGAAATTATTGAAGAAATCAAACGGCTAGAAACAAACTTTAAAAAGGATCCCGCTGACAGGAAGACCAATAAGTACCGATGGTGCGGTGCTGAGTACGAATCACTTTTTCACAAGGACGTTATACAGAATGCATTAGAGATTAATGGTCTGGCTGTCTTGGGAAGAAGTATGGACTTCGATGGGGTTTGGTCTGGAAAGTGTCCAGAAGCCAGATCTAACGATCATTCCTTTGACGTACTCGCTGATATAGATAACCTCGAGGACCTTGGGCAAAAGAAGCTCTGTGCCTTGTTCCATTCTGTAGCGCTCCCACATTCAACAATTGTATATGTGGGATCGTCTCCAGGAGATGCTTGGCTTAGCACGTTACCCTACTTTAGGAATCTGCATAAGATTATTTTTATAGATCCTAGACCTCTCGCCAGAGAGGCACCCGGATACGTTGTACATCACTCCATTGCTATAGGAAGTCCCGAGGACGTTAGGAAAATCATAGTTCATAAAGAAGACTGTGTGCTTATATGGGATCGGGGAGACACACCAAGCGATTTGGACGTCAGAGATGAACTAATTCTTAAGGAAATATCCTTGATCAACGCGATATTAGCAGACGAAAAATACTGAGCAAATTCTTCTTAATACATATCAAAATTAACATGAAGTACTTCACTTCGTATTCCCTTCCCGATTGCGGACGATTCTTTCTGCAGCCCTACACACTTTCACGCGACGTATGTGAAGCTAGATTTGTGTGAAAGTGAGCAAAACGAAGTATTCTGCTCGCTTCCCCGAGTCAAATTATGAGAGACAATATTATAAAAGAGATGAACACGACTAAAACGAAACTCGCATCCGGAGAGATTCCGGAATCTTCACTGGTGACTAATGCGCTTACGGCCAGATATCGTCGCATCGATTATCTTACGGAAAAAGCATACAATGACCCGGAAGAAGAGATTTTCCTCTACACGATAAATCACTACCCAACTGAAAGAGTGCTCTCGTATTTATCCTTTTCTCACAAGATCCTATAGGAGATTTATCGTCAGATTCTTTACTGGCGCTGCCCATATTGACGATGTACATCCTTTCGCTGAGGGTGAGGCCTTGCTGTTAGGATTGGGTACCATCTTAGATTCTCGTTCGATCATTAAAGCTTAAATTGAGAACATATACTTCCTCCTATCCAATCAGCTTAATGATCTGTTTAAGGAGGAAGAATATACGTCCGAGACATACAAAATTCGCAAGACTGAATATTCTGTGGTCACACGGTCCAGGATCCCGATCTAGGATACAGTACGACGAGACGCGTGTTCAAATATAGGAGCGCAGTTCCCCAAATTCCCTGCCGCGTTCAGTATCTCGGATTCTTTGCTGTCCCCGTCTGGGCACGCCCTGAGAATGGGCTTCGAATTTTTAGATGGAAAAACATCGATAGCTATTCCACTTACGAATAGTACGACAAAGAAATGAGTCACCAAATTTCTTTGTTCGTGTAGGAATAGCGGCCATAGTAAGTCGGTGGCAACGTAGGCCAGCGCGCGTGGTCCTCTGAAGAAAAGGTGATGGAGGGATAAGCGAGAAGAGCTCCTCAGAACACTCGCCGTGGTATATATATATCAATATAGTTATGTTTCTTAACTTTTTGGTAACTATTATTGTTGAGAAAACCGTTGGTAAATAATAAATCCTGCAGCATAGTTCATAATTTATGCTTTACTGCGATAATGAGTAATAAACTTGTAGGTATTTGTTTATAGTTCAATGGAAACGAAAGGCTTAGTCGAGCTTACTTCCAACGTGCTCAACGTTATGTGACTCGACATCAGTCTACCGAAGAATCACGGGACCAGCATGTTGAAATTCCACATCAACTAGTAGAAGAGAACCAAGATGAACCAGTGCAATTATTCAATCCCGGTTTACGACACCCTAATGTTCCTAATAAATGGATATATTAGAGATCAAGCTGTTCAGGTTAACATAATGCAGGCTGTAGAAATAAATGGTTATACGCGAGCGCCATTTAATAGTCAATAGGGAAGATATGTATGAAAATTTTATGATTAAAATGTTAAAAAAATATAAAAGAAGGGCCACTGCAACGTTTTTATTTTACAAAATGTTTTTTAATAATAATTACGAATTAAAAATGACTGAAACGAAACGTATTTTAAAACACCAATCAGCGTTTCGTGACGTCACTCCTGTTATGACAACTTATTTGAGGTTATGGTTGTAAAAGTGAATATTATTTTAAGGGAATATTAATTGCGTTTTTTAATAAAAATGGAAGTTGGGTTTATCAAAGCAGACTCCAGGAATTTACCAAGAGTTAGTGTTGACATGGTTGTAACTTTTTTTGTCCAAAGTGCAGAGTTTTCAAGTGTAGAAATGAAAGGGACTAAATTACTAGGGTATGTATAAATCACAGTTGTTAAACTTTGTATTTTATTCAGCGGCTTCTACACATAGCAGTTATTTCAGCTCAACAAGAGAATCTTACGGCGATTACGCAATCGGTTATGTCCAAATTAAAAGAGATGGAGAATTATGTACAGTAAAAACTCGAGTTACTCCGGAGCATAAAGTACGTGAAGAAGGTTATCGTGTTACAGTTATTTTAAATGAAACTCAAAGCTTGGTTCAGTCCTGCCAATGTGAAGATTGTGCAGCTTCTGAAGGTAAAGAATTAAAGTTATTTTCAAATAATAAAACTGTTATGAAAAGAATTAAGTTCATTTTTAATAGTTAAACTGTATGTGGTACGGATTATTATGACTAAAATTTCTTTCTAGGTGGGTGTAAGCATGCTGCTGCACTATTGCTATGGTTGCACAGAAGATCTGAGGACCCTCCGATTACGTTCGTCACATGTTATTGGAAGAAGTCTAAATTATCTACATGTGCTTCAGGAAAATCTTTTATAAAAGCCAAAGAAATGGGTCATATTTCAGTCACTAACAGTTTTTCTCAAGTATGTAGTTTTTTATTTGAAGAATTTATTAAATGTGTTCCAATAATAACTGCATATTTTTAGGTGGATATTTTAAGTGAATTTCTAGATGCTGTCAAAAAAAAAGATTGTCAAGCGAGTATTCTTCACTACTTTCAAGAAAACCAACAAACTATAAGCATTCATAAACTGTGTTCAAGATTGATTGGCAAGTTGGACTCTCCACAATCATTTCTTGAAATATTATCAAACCAAATGACCAATATTAATATGATTTTTTCTACCACCAAAAATCAGAGCGATACACCATTGTGGTTTGAGTTGAGGCAAGTAGTAAAGGCTTCTAGCTTAGTTTTGTTTATTGTATTTATCACGATAAAGAAGAAGTATTTGCAGAAATATGTAAAAAAGGAAAAATTTGCACAAACAAACTCACTATCATACCCACATAGCATAAACTTGATTGGCATATTTACTGTAAACAACAGATTTTTAGTTTTCTATTTTTACAGATACGGAAGAATTACTGGCTCAATTCTTCATGAAGCCGCTCACTGTAGAACTAAAATTGGTTCCCTTTTGAACAAAATTATGGGAGAACATTCAAAATTTACTTCCATTGCGATGGCTAGAGGGAAAAAACTAGAAAAAGAAGTTCTCGAAGTAGTGAGCAAAAAAGAAAAGGTAACTTCATTAGTTTTTCTGTTGTTTAAATATTTTGAATAAAAGAATTTGTAATGTCTAGTTTAAGGCCTTTGTATAAATTAATATTATTTATATTATTACGATCTGCATTTCAGATTAAAATTGAAGAAGCTGGACTTCTTCTTAATGCCGAGTATCCTATTTTTGGTGTAACACCTAACGGGCTTACTGAAAATTACACAATAGAGGTGAAATGTCCTTCAACAGAAGCTACCATACTTAACTATGTGAAAGACAGTAAAATAACACCAAAATGTTGGACACAAGTACAACTTCAAATGTTTTTCAGCAAAAGGAAAATGGCACTTTTTTGTATAGCACACCCAAACTTTGAAAAATCAAAAGAAGTAGATATTTATAATGTGCCATATGATGACAGCATTGTATCTGTTATGAACGCTGCAAAGAAATTCTGGATAGATGCTGTATATCCAAAATTAAAAGATATATATAATATATAAGCATATTTTTTATATTGCATATTTTATTTTTTGCGACCGCCGTGGTCGAGTGGTTTGTACGCCGGGTTTCATGGTGTCGCCGACTCGAGAGGTCCCGGGTTCAAATCCCGGTGGGGACAGATGTTTGTGTGATGAATACGAGCATTTGTACTCCAGTCATGGATGTTTAATATGTATTTCTATAAAAAAAAATATACTTATATATGTACAGTTTATGTATTCTGTCCGTTACCCTAGTATCCCATAACACAAGCCTTATAGTGCTTACTTTGGGGCTAGGCTAATTGGTGTGAGTGTTGGAAATATTTATTTATTTATTTTATTTATTTATTTTGTTTTTGTAAATTTATAAAATAAAATTCTATGCTTTGTAAATACTATTTTTTTATTCCATTTTAATTAAAGGTGATTGCAAATTGACAAGCGCAGAACAAATGATTATGCTATAATCTAAATGGGGAACAAGAAAATGATCAACACAGGCATGTGGTTTTAGTAAAGCAAATTCGCGCAGTCTTCTAATCACTCTTTCAATATGAATTCGAAGGCTTGCAATTTTCTTTGACTTTATTACCTCATCTTTTGTACTTTTCTTGGTGTTGCTAACACTAGGTGGTCTTATCAATTGAAATTGATTTTTTGCCAACACTCCTTCGATGTGCTTGAAGCCTCTGTCTGCTATGATACAAGCTCCAGGTGGTAAAATGTCCATCAATCCAGATTCTTGAAAAACTTTTAAATCGGAAGTTCGGCCACCAAAACCATCTGAGACGAAGTTTATAACCCCGTCTGGTGTAGAAGATATTAAATATTTTAAAGTGTTGCATTTCTTATAAGAGGAATAGGTTAGAGACTGGTGTACTGCATCACTAGGAACTTCTATTTCTATTCCAAGGCAATCAATTATACAATATGTTTTGGAATAGGAATTTCTGAAGCTAATCGGCAAGTTGGCAAGAACTGACTCTCGTGATGGTTTAATGATAAACTTTTTTTAATACTTCAGCCATTTTCCAACAATTTCTTGAAAATATTCTGCTTGCTGTAGTTGCATGTATATAAAAATCTTCTGCTAAAATAGAAAATGATTCATTCAGTCGTAGCTTTTTTAAAACTAAGCAAATATGATAAAGATTGCATTTTAAGTGTTTTTGTAGAAGTTCTACAAGAATATTGCTAGAAAATGGAACCCCTATGTACAACTGAGGCTGTGCCATTATTCGACCCATTGTTATGTCACATAATTGTCTTTGTTTTAGCTGTTTACATCCACTTAAAACAGATTCTGAAGTACTATCAGTCTCCTCTTCAGGTTTAAATAAACTCCTGATACTGTCACTATCACTAGAGTCATTACAATGAAGAATTTTATACTTATTTAGTTTTATTGGTGATGTTTTACAATCCCTAACATTGAGTAGCTTAGGTGATAAAGCTACAGTCTTTTGGGGTATTTTCATTTGTACTTGAACTTGTTTTGATCGTTTATAAGGATATATAGATACTTGTACACCTTTATCATTGGATATTTCAATATTTTGAGAATCATGTGTTTCTGTGGTTAATGAACACTCTGAAGATAGATCTGAAACATGAAAGACAATAATATAGTTCTTCATTAAAAAACATTATCCTTATATTATTATAAATTTGTTTGAATGTTTGTTTGTCTCTAATATAAGAATAAATCTAAAAGAATAAATCAAAAGTATACCTGGTAAATTTTCAATGCTCTCAAGAATTTCACGTTTTCTCCTTTTCATTATTACTGATCTTGGTTTCAGTGGCATCATTCTATTTTGGCATTCAAAAATATGAGGTACCACATCTTTTTTCAGAAAAAGTTTTCCATTTTCCAGTTTTCCAAATGTGTGGAACATTTTAAACTTTATCCAGTTTTAGACGTCGTTTTCCAACTGTAAAATTAAAAATATGTTATAGACAGGTTTTGTAAGTATTAGGTAGATTACTAACGCGTTTTTACGTACAAGCAGATTAATTATGCATATAACAAGTATATTCTTCGACTTACGTCAAAGTGATCTTCACAGCATCGAATAACGGTTTTTGGCGAATAATTTCCATCTCTCTTCGCAGCTTCAAACCACTTTTTTCTCAGTTTTGGGTCAGAAGGTCCAGTCAAAAACAATTTACTTGGAAACTGTTGAAGTTGATGGACACATTGGCACAAAACATGAGTCAACACGGCTTTTTTTTTGGAATATTAATGGTATTGTTATGATCACCTGATGTTGATGGGTAGTCCATTTTAATTTTTTACAGAAAATTATCTCGAAAATCGAAAAAATAAGCAAAAGTATAAAAGGCAGCGACGAACAAGTACGACCAGTGACAGACAGGAGTCACGTCATCGGAACCATAGGTCCGTTTTCGCGCGAAAATTTAAACTGTCAATTTAAAACCTCATTTTTTCCGATAAATTGCAATTTATTAATTTTTTAATATATTTGTGGTT